CTCCAACAGATCGTCAGGTCCCAAGTATCATTCGTCTCCATTCACTCCTATCTAACACGCTCATGCACGCTTGCTGGAAGTCCAAGCCCCTCGCCCACAAAACCTCCTTTACTCCCTCTTTCCAACCCTTTCGAGGATGACCCCTACCCCTCTTTCCTTCCCCTATAGATTTATATGCTTTCCATGTCATTCTACTTTGATCCATTCTCTCTAAATGACCAAACCACCTCAACAACCCCTCTTCTGCCCTCTGACTAATGCTTTTATTAACTCCACACACCTTCTCCTAATTTCCACACTCCGAATTTTCTGCATAATATTTACACCACACATTGCCCTTAGACAGGACATCTCCACTGCCTCCAACCGTCTCCTCGCTGCTGCATTTACCACCCAAGCTTCACATCCATATAAGAGTGTTGGTACTACTATACTTTCATACATTCCCTTCTTTGCCTCCATAGATAACGTTTTTTGACTCCACATATACCTCAACGCACCACTCACCTTTTTTCCCTCATCAATTCTATGATTAACCTCATCCTTCATAAATCCATCCGCCGACACGTCAACTCCCAAGTATCTGAAAACATTCACTTCTTCCATACTCCTCCTCCCCAATTTGATATCCAATTTTTCTTTATCTAAATCATTTGATACCCTCATCACCTTACTCTTTTCTATGTTCACTTTCAACTTTCTACCTTTACACACATTTTTCAAAATCATCCACTAACCTTTGCAATTTTTCTTTAGAATCTCCCATAAGCACAGTAATCATCAGCAAAAAGTAACTGTGTCAATTCCCATTTTGAATTTGATTCCCCATAATTTAATCCCACCCCTCTCCCGAACACCCTAGCATTTACTTCTTTTACAACCCCATCTATAAATATATTAAACAACCATGGTGACATTACACATCCCTGTCTAAGACCTACTTTTACCGGGAAGTATTCTCCCTCTCTTCTACACACCCTAACCTGAGCCTCACTATCCTCATAAAAGCTCTTTACAGCATTTAGTAACTTACCACCTATTCCATATACTTGCAACATCTGCCACATTGCTCCTCTATCCACTCTATCATATGCCTTTTCTAAATCCATAAATGCAATAAAAACTTCCCTACCTTTATCTAAATACTGTTCACATATATGCTTCAATGTAAACACTTGATCTACACATCCCCTGCCCACTCTGAAGCCTCCTTGCTCATCCGCAATTCTACATTCTGTCTTACCTCTAATTCTTTTAATTATAACCCTACCGTATACTTTTCCTGGTATACTCAGTAAACTTATTCCACTATAATTTTCACAATCTCTTTTGTCCCCTTTCCCTTTATATAAAGGGACTATACATGCTCTCCGCCAATCCCTAGGTACCTTCCCCTCTTTTATACATTTATTAAACAAAAGTACCAACCACTCCAACACTATATCCCCCCCTGCTTTTAACATTTCTGTCATGATCCCATCAGTTCCAGCTGCTTTACCCCCTTTCATTCTACGTAATGCCTCACGTACCTCCACACTTACATTCTGCTCTTCTTCACTCCTAAAAGATGGTATACCTCCCTGGCCAGTGCATGAAATTACCGCCTCCCTTTCTTCCTCAACATTTAAAAGTTCCTCAAAATATTCTCGCCATCTACCTAATACCTCCCTCTCCCCATCTACTAACTCCCCTACTCTGTTTTTAACTGACAAACCCATACTTTCCCTAGGCTTTCTTAACTTGTTTAACTCCCTCCAAAATTTTTTCTTATTTTCATTAAAATTTCTTGACAGTGCCTCTCCCACTCTTTCATCTGCTCTCCTTTTGCACTCTCTCACCACTCTCTTCACCTTTCTTTACTCTCCATATACTCTGCTCTTCTTATAACACTTCTGCTTTGTAAAAACCTCTCGTAAGCTACCTTTTTCTCTTTTATCACACCCTTTATTTCATCTTTTCCACCAATCACTCCTCTTTCCTCCTGCCCCCACCCTCCTATAACCACAAACTTCTGCCCCACATTCTAATACTACATTTTTAAAACTATTCCAACCCTCTTCAACACCCCCACTACTCATCTTTGCACTAGCCCACCTTTCTGCCAATAGTCGCTTATATCTCGCCCGAACTTCCTCCTCCCTTAGTTTATACACTTTCACCTCCCTCTTACTTGTTGTTGCCACCTTCCTCTTTTCCCATCTACCTCTTACTCTAACTGTAGCTACAACTAAATAATGATCCGATATATCAGTTGCCCCTCTATAAACATGTACATCCTGGAGCTTACCCATCAACCTTTTATCCACCAATACATAATCTAACAAACTACTTTCATTGCGTGCTACATCATACCTTGTATATTTATTTATCCTCTTTTTCATGAAATATGTATTACTTCTTTCTTTTCAGCACACCGGCCGTATCCCACCGAGGCGGGGTGGCCCAAAAGGAAAAACGAAAGTTTCTCCCTTTACATTTAGTAATATATACAGGAGAAGAGGTTACTAGCCCCTTGCTCCCGGCATTTTAGTCGCCTCTTACAACACGCATGGCTTACGGAGGAAGAATTCTGTTCCACTTCCCCATGGAGATAAGAGGAAATAAACAAGAATAAGAACTAGAAAGAAAATAGAAGAAAACCCAGAGGGGTGTGTATATATGTGCTTGTACATGTATGTGTAGTGTGACCTAAGTGTAAGTAGAAGTAGCAAGACTTACCTGTAATCTTGCATATTTCTTCTTTCAACACACCGGCCGTATCCCACCGAGGCGGGGTGGCCTAAAAGGAAAAACGAAAGTTTCTCCTTTTACATTTAGTAATATATACAGGAGAAGAGGTTACTAGCCCCTTGCTCCCGGCATTTTAGTTGCCTCTTACAACACGCATGGCTTACGGAGGAAGAATTCTATTCCACTTCCCCATGGAGATAATAGGAAATAGACAAGAACAAGAACTAGAAAGAAAATAGAAGAAAACCCAGAGGGGTATGTATATATATATGCTTGCACATGTATGTGTAGTGTGACCTAAGTGTAAGTAGAAGTAGCAAGACGTACCTAAAATCTTGCATATTTATGAGACAGAAAAATGGACACCAGCAACCCTACCATCATGTAAAACAATTACAGGTTTCCGTTTTACACTCACTTGGGAGGACGGTAGTACCTCCCTGGGTGGTTGCTGTCTACCAACCTACTACCTATATATGTATTACTTATTACCAAATTTCTTTCTACACATAGCTCAATTAAAGGCTCCCCATTTACATTTACCCCTGGCACCCCAAATTTACCTACTACTCCCTCCATAACATTTTTACCCACTTTAGCATTGAAATCCCCAACCACCATTACTCTCACACTTGATTCAAAACTCCCCATGCATTCACTCAACATTTCCCAGAATCTCTCTCTCTCCTCTACACTTCTCTCTTCTCCAGGTGCATACACGCTTACTATAACCCACTTTCACATCCAATCTTTATTTTACTCCACATAATCCTTGAATTTATACATTTGTAGTCCCTCTTTTCCTGCCATAGCTTATCCTTCAACATTATTGCTACTCCTTCTTTAGCTCTAACTCTATTTGAAACCCCTGACCTAATCCCATTTATTCCTCTCCAATGAAACTCTCCCACCCCCTTCAGCTTTGTTTCACTTAAAGCCAGGACATCCAGTTTCTTCTCATTTATAACATCCACAATCATCTCTTTCTTATCATTTGCACAACATCCACGCACATTCAGACTTCCCACTTTGACATAATTACATAAGTCAGTGTGATGTCAAACCACTACAAAATGTTGCATCAAGAATTTTTTCTTTCATAGCTAATCTGAGGTATGGTAACACTATACTGTATATTATACACAAATAACCCGCACCTAGGAGAGAGGAGCTTATGATGATGTTTCGGTCCAACTTGGACCATTTACAAAGTCTCGCTAACAAAAAAGAGAGGAGGAAGTATATATAGGCCAGCAGACAGGGACAGGACAAGAGAGGTAGTAGGAAAGGAAGAAGAGAGGTAGTGGTAGAGGTAGTACAGGTCGACCATCACTAATCCAGCAATCAGGTATCTAGTTCCATCAGTAATCCACCACTAATTTGGGCTAGCATAATTTCAAATTTCATCGTTTTACTGACTCAGATTTCATCATTATACTGACTCAGAAATTGTGCAGATGGTTGTAAATCCACAGCAGCAAGCCAGTGGAGGAGAAAGCAGTGACGAAAATGATAGGTTAATTAAGTGTATTCTAACCTAACCACTCTGTAATCTGGCACTCTACAGGTGCCACTGATGCTGGATTAGTGATGGCCGAATTGTAGTAGCAGTGTAGTCAAAGACTAAGAAAGAGGAGCACTGCAATAGAGCTAAAGGGCCAGCAAAGGGTGAGAACAAAAACACAGAGGGGAGAAAAAATAATAATGGACCAAACACCCAAGGCAGAAGAAAGAAAACCCAAAGGAGAAAGAGGAAAGGGGAAGAGGGAGAAGGGGAAAAAAGAATCAGGTTAAGCCATAGGTGTTCTGAAGTTTGGAGCATTTTACAATGTAATGGGAAAGGAAGGCATCTACAGAGACAAAGCCAGGACTAAGATTCATACAGGGAAAGTTGCGTATAAGGGAGGATTTAACTAGAGGGCAGCGACTGAAAGTTAGAAGTAGGGTAGACAGTTTTAGCAGAAGACCAGTCAGTAGGATGACAGTGATCTCTGACATGACAGACAAGAGCATTGTTGGTGACGGCAAGCCTAACACTACTTTTGTGCTCCCTGACTCGGAGAGCTTACCGGGGTGGACCAGTAAGCCAGTGGAAGGCCTTAGTCAGATGACCGAAAGCTCCAGCAGCAGGTCATGATATAACTAAGACCTGGAACAGGAAACATTTGTCCCGTTTCCTGACAAATCTTACCTTTTTTACCTTTTAGCAAAGTTGACAATTTATCAGATTTCATATGTAGAATAAATTAATGTATTAATTATTATTGCAGGCAGAGTCAGCTTTGTGATGTTGTTCTAGTTGCTGATGACTCAGAGGTGCCGGCTCATAAGATGGTTTTGGCTTCGTGTAGCCCGTACTTCCATGCTATGTTTACTAGTAAGTATATGTTGTACTTGTATTTATATCTTTATGTACTGGTAGAAGGTAGCGGGTGGCCAGTAATTGTCATTGTGGTGGATAAAGATTAAGGATTTTCTTTGCATAGTTTACAATGCGTAATTACAATTTTGATTTTCTAAGTACAAAGAAAGCTACTATCATGCCGGGGCATTTCAGGCAGACTAAACCTAATGCTTAAGATTGTTTTGCCGTGATGGTAACATTTAACCCTTTCTCTATCCATCATGTAGAACTACGTCATTGAGGCCAGGGTCCCTGATATACTAGTTCTGTGTCATGAGCTTGGCTTACTTAGATAAGATGTGAGCAGTAAATTTTTGCCTTGATATGAGAGAATGGATCTTCCCCATGCAGTACATGATGGGAAAACAAATCTGTGACCGTTTGTATGGTTTATACTGGCGACATTGAGGTATTTTCTTGGATGGTTTTTATGTCTATATTGGCTGTTTCTTGGTATCATTTGAGAGAAGACATACTACTGAAATAGAGATGATTTTGATAGCCTTTGAGACTGAAAGTAGCTTGAAATTGAGCTCAAAGTAGAGGAAATATTCAGTTTTTCCAATATTCCAGGGGATAGGTAAGGCCCAGTCTATTTTATGTTTTTTTTAATAGGTCTGATTCAATTATTGGGATGCTGTAAACCACGACTAATGTTTCTAGGTTATATATTTTTTTTTTTTTTTTCAACAAGTCTGCCGTCTCCCACCGAGGCAGGGTGACCCAAAAAAGAAAGAAAATCCCCAAAAAGAAAATACTTTCATCATCATTCAACACTTTCACCACACTCACACATTATCACTGCTTTTCCATTTTGCAGAGGTGCTCAGAATACAACAGTTTAGAAGCATATATGCATAAAGATACACAACATATCCCTCCAAACTGCCAATATCCCAAACCCCTCCTTTAAAGTGCAGGCATTGTACTTCCCATTTCCAGGACTCAAGTCCGACTATATGAAAATAACCGGTTTCCCTGAATCCCTTCACTAAATATTACCCTGCTCACACTCCAACAGATCGTCAGGTCCCAAGTATCAGTCGTCTCCATTTACTCCTATCTAACATGCTCATGCACGCTTGCTGGAAGTCCAAGCCCCTCGCCCACAAAACCTCCTTTACCCCCTCTTTCCAACCCTTTCGAGGACGACCCCTACCCCTCTTTCCTTCCCCTATAGATTTATATGCTTTCCATGTCATTTTACTTTGATCCATTCTCTCTAAATGACCAAACCACCTCAACAACCCCTCTTCTGCCCTCTAATGCTTTTATTAACTCCACACCTTCTCCTAATTTCCACACTCCGAATTTTCTGCATAATATTTACACCACACATTGGCCTTAGACAGGATGTCTCCACTGCCTCCAACCGTCTCCTCGCTGCTGCATTTACCACCCAAGCTTCACATCCATATAAGAGTGTTGGTACTACTATACTTTCATACATTCCCTTCTTTGCCTCCATAGATAACGTTTTTTGACTCCACATATACCTCAACGCACCACTCACCTTTTTTCCCTCATCAATTCTATGATTAACCTCATCCTTCATAAATCCATCCGCCGACACGTCAACTCCCAAGTATCTGAAAACATTCACTTCTTCCATACTCCTCCTCCCCAGCAATCCTATCATCATGTAAAACAATTACAGGCTTTTGTTTTACATTCACTTGGCAGGACAGTAGTACCTCCCTGGGTGGTTGCTGTCTACCAACCTACTACAACAAAGCTATTAATTAATTTCAAATAAGTGCAGCTTCCTATTGTCTATTTTATTGTACCATGAACCACTTTACCAGTGGATGATTTCAGTCAGAGAGTCAAATCTCCTGTGATTTTTGCCATATGTCTAAAACTCTTCAAAAGTTTTCTCTTTCTCCTGACACACTAATTACAGTACTATATACAGATAACCCACACATAGGAGAATGAAACCTATGACTTGGACAACTTAATGGTCCAATCAGATCAAAATGTCGTCATAAGTTTCATTCTCCTATGTGCAGGTTATTTGTGTATTGCTCCAGTTATGGTATTGTGCCTTTTTATTCATTATGTATTACATACTATATTGGAGGGCACATGTATTTAGAATTATTATTTGCAAAGGCTCTGATTATGTGTTTTTAACATTTCTTATTATAATAATGGGTCAAGATTTACAGTGCAAAACTTACTCTCCCTCAGGTTTTGAAGAAAGTCGACAAGAAAGAATAGTATTACAAGATATTGATGGTAGTGCGTTACAACTTCTCATTGATTATGTATACACAGCAGAAGTGTTAGTTACAGAAGAAAATGTGCAGGTGAGATAGCTTGTGGCTCTGGCTGTATAAAATTAATAAATTTTGAAACTTTTTCCTTATGTAGCAGATTTTATTATACTGCTCACCAGTCTGGAAGTTTCATGTTCATCTGCTGTACCATTCTTTACTAATACATAAACTGTAAATTGAAATTTATCCCCTTTATATCTCTTTCATTGAAATGGTTGCTTTCTTAACTGACTGACCTCTCCTGGTTTTCCAGTTCAGATATTTAGTTTAGTTTACTTTCCAATTGCTGGTCACAAAATGGCCTAATATATACAATAGCAATTTGAAAAATCACTTGGCAAACCCTTTGCTCCTATTTTCCACTGTCTATCATAATGAAATTTGTATAAATTAAAATGTTACATTACAGTAGAGTCTACAATATTCAAACACTGTATTAATTATGAAATAACTAATCACTATAAAAACATAGTGCCATGTGTATTTTATTGGTGTCATAGCCTCATTTGTGTGATGTCAGTGTTTCCATGAAGCCATCTGTCATGTCCTCATCTTGAATTGAAGCTTTTATATCAATTATGTGCAAGCTAATTTTGTGCAGCCACATGCCCTGTGGCCTGGTGGCTAAAGCTCTCGCTTCACATGGAGAGGGTACAAACATTAGGTGTGTTTCTTTACACCAGTTGTCTATGTTCCCATCAGTAAAATGGGTACCTGGGTGTTAGTTGACTGGTGTGGGTCACATCCTGGGACAAAACTGACCTAATTTTCCCAAAATGCTTTGCATAACAAGCGGCTTTTTATGTACATAGTACAGTGTAACCCCGAGTTTTGAACTTAATTTATTCCAGGAGCTAGCTCTAAAGTCGAAACGTTCAAAACTCGAAGCAATATTTCCCATAAGAAATTATGTAAATACAATTAATCTGTTCCAGAAATTCAAAAATATTCACAAAAAAATACATTTTTTAGAGATTAATTATAGTTTTACATACAACAAACATAGTACAATTAGTAACAGATAAATAAACATTTAAATAAACATACAAAATAACATTTTTACTTACCTTTATTGAAGATTGTTGATGGCATCTGGAAGATAGGGTGGAGGAGGGAGGGAGCACTTATTGATTGGAAGGGGAATCCCCTGCCATAAAGACTCTAGGTAACAAGTCCTTATCTGGGGTTACTTCCTTTCTTTAAGATTTCTCTAAAATGGGACATGGTTCTGTCACTGAACTTGTTGCAGAGATAGCTTGTTTCAGCTTGCTCAGGGTGATATTTTTCAGCAAATGCCTGCACCCTATTTCACATTGCACAAATCTCCTTAATCTCTGAAGAAGGCACCATCCACCAATACCATCCACCACCATCCACCACCATCCACCACTATCCACCACCATCCACCACCATCCACCACCATCCACCAGTAACATCCACCACCACCACCAATACCATCCACTACCACCACCACCATCCACTACCACCACCACCATCCACCAATACCATCCACCAATACCATCTACCACCATCCATCACCACCACCATCCACCAGTACCATCCACCACCATTCATCACCACCATCCACCACCACCATCCATCACCACCATCATCTACCCCACCACCATCATCCACCCCACCACCATCCACCAATACCATCCACCAGCACACTATCCAACAATACCATCCACTACCACCACCATCCATCACCACCATCCACCTTTACCATCCACCACCACCACCACCACCATCCATCACCATCACCATCCACCACCAATATTATTTTATTATCACACCGGCCGATTCCCACCAAGGCAGGGTGGCCCGAAAAAGAAAAACTTTCACCATCATTCACTCCATCACTGTCTTGCCAGAAGGGTGCTTTACACTACAGTTTTTTAAACTGCAACATTAAACACCCCTCCTTCAGAGTGCAGGCACTGTACTTCCCATCTCCAGGACTCAAGTCCGGCCCTTCCGGTTTCCCTGAATCCCTTCATAAATGTTACTTTGCTCACACTCCAACAGCACGTCAAGTATTAAAAACCATTTGTCTCCATTCACTCCTATCAAACACGCTCACGCATGCCTGCTGGAAGTCCAAGCCCCTCCACACAAAACCTCCTTTACCCCCTCCCTCCAACCCTTCCTAGGCCGACCCCTACCCCGCCTTCCTTCCACTACAGACTGATACACTCTTGAAGTCATTCTGTTTCGCTCCATTCTCTCTACATGTCCGAACCACCTCAACAACCCTTCCTCAGCCCTCTGGACAACAGTTTTGGTAATCCCGCACCTCCTCCTAACTTCCAAACTACGAATTCTCTGCATTATATTCACACCACACATTGCCCTCAGACATGACATCTCCACTGCCTCCAGCCTTCTCCTCGCTGCAACATTCATCACCCACGCTTCACACCCATATAAGAGCGTTGGTAAAACTATACTCTCATACATTCCCCTCTTTGCCTCCAAGGACAAAGTTCTTTGTCTCCACAGACTCCTAAGTGCACCACTCACTCTTTTTCCCTCATCAATTCTATGATTCACCTCATCTTTCATAGACCCATCCGCTGACACGTCCACTCCCAAATATCTGAATACGTTCACCTCCTCCATACTCTCTCCCTCCAATCTGATATTCAATCTTTCATCACCTAATCTTTTTGTTATCCTCATAACCTTACTCTTTCCTGTATTCACCTTTAATTTTCTTCTTTTGCACACCCTACCAAATTCATCCACCAATCTCTGCAACTTCTCTTCAGAATCTCCCAAGAGCACAGTGTCATCAGCAAAGAGCAGCTGTGACAACTCCACTTTGTGTGTGATTCTTTATCTTTTAACTCCACGCCTCTTGCCAAGACCCTCGCATTTACTTCTCTTACAACCCCATCTATAAATATATTAAACAACCACGGTGACATCACACATCCTTGTCTAAGGCCTACTTTTACTGGGAAAAAATTCCCCTCTTCCTACATACTCTAACTTGAGCCTCACTATCCTCGTAAAAACTCTTCACTGCTTTCAGTAACCTACCTCCTACACCATACACTTGCAACATCTGCCACATTGCCCCCCTATCCACCCTGTCATACGCCTTTTCCAAATCCATAAATGCCACAAAGACCTCTTTAGCCTTATCTAAATACTGTTCACTTATATGTTTCACTGTAAACACCTGGTCCACACACCCCCTACCTTTCCTAAAGCCTCCTTGTTCATCTGCTATCCTATTCTCCGTCTTACTCTTAATTCTTTCAATTATAACTCTACCAACACTTTACCAGGTACACTCACAGACTTATCCCCCTATAATTTTTGCACTCTCTTTTATCCCCTTTGCCTTTATACAAAGGAACTATGCATGCTCTCTGCCAATCCCTAGGTACCTTACCCTCTTCCATTACATTTATTAAATAATTGCACCAACCACTCCAAAACTATATCCCCACCTGCTTTTTAACATTTCTATCTTTATCCCATCAATCCCGGCTGCCTTACCCCTTTCATTTTACCTACTGCCTCACGAACTTCCCCCACACTCACAACTGGACTCTTCCTCACTCCTACAAGATGTATTCCTCCTTGCCCTATACACGAAATCACAGCTTCCCTATCTTCATCAACATTTAACAATTCCTCAAATATTCTTCCATCTTCCCAATACCTCTAACTCTCCATTAATAACTCTCCTCTCCTATTTTTAACTGACAAATCCATTTGTTCTCTAGCTTTCTTAACTTGTTAATCTCACTCCAAAACTTTTTCTTATTTTCAACAAAAATTTGTTGATAACATCTCACCCACTCTCTCATTTGCTCTCTTTTTACATTGCTTCACCACTCTCTTAACTTCTCTCTTTTTCTCCATATACTCTTCCCTCCTTGCATCACTTCTACTTTGTAAAAACTTCTCATATGCTAACTTTTTCTCCCTTACTACTCTCTTTACATCCATCATTCCACCAATCGCTCCTCTCCTCCTGCACCCACTTTCCTGTAACCACAAACTTCTGCTGAACACTCTAACACTACATTTTTAAACCTACCCCATACCTCTTCGACCCCATTGCCTATGCTCTCATTAGCCCATCTATCCTCCAATAGCTGTTTATATCTTACCCTAACTGCCTCCTCTTTTAGTTTATAAACCTTTACCTCTCTCTTCCCTGATGCTTCTATTCTCCTTGTATCCCATCTACCTTTTACTCTCAGTGTAGCTACAACTAGAAAGTGATCTGATATATCTGTGGCCCCTCTATAAACATGTACATCCTGAAGTCTACTCAACAGTCTTTTATCTACCAATACATAATCCAACAAACTACTGTCATTTCGCCCTACATCATATCGTGTATACTTATTTATCCTCTTTTTCTTAAAATATGTATTACCTATAACTAAACCCCTTTCTATACAAAGTTCAATCAAAGGCTCCCATTATCATTTACACCTGGCACCCCAAACTTACCTACCACACCCTCTCTAAAAGTTTCTCCTACTTTAGCATTCAAGTCCCCTACCACAATTACTCTCTCACTTGGTTCAAAGGCTCCTATACATTCACTTAACATCTCCCAAAATCTCTCTCTCTCCTCTGCATTCCTCTCTTCTCCAGGTGCATACACGCTTATTATGACCCACTTCTCGCATCCAACCTTTACTTTAATCCACATAATTCTTGAATTTACACATTCATATTCTCTTTTCTCCTTCCATAACTGATCATTTAACATTACTGCTACCCCTTCCTTTGCTCTAACTCTCTCAGATACTCCAGATTTAATCCCATTTATTTCCCCCCACTGAAACTCTCCTACCCCCTTCAGCTTTGTTTCGCTTAGGGCCAGGACATCCAACTTCTTTTCATTCATAACATCAGCAATCATCTGTTTCTTGTCATCCGCACTACATCCACGCACATTTAAGCAACCCAGTTTTATAAAGTTTTTCTTCTTCTCTTTTTTAGTAATTGTATACAGGAGAAGGGGTTACTAGCCCATTGCTCCCGCATTTTAGTCGCCTCATACGACACGCATGGCTTAAGGAGGAAAGATTCTTTTCCACTTCCCCATGGACAATAGAAGAAATAAAAAGAACAAGAGCTATTTAGAAAAAGGAGAAAAACCTAGATGTATGTATATATATATATATATGCATGTGCGTGTCTATGAAGTGTGACCAAAGTGTAAGTAGGAGTAGCAAGATATCCCTGTTATCTTAGCGTGTTTATGAGACAGAAAAAGAAACCAGCAATCCTACCATCATGCAAAACAGTTACAGGTTTTTGTTTCACAGTCATCTGGCAGGACGGTAGTACTTCCCTGGGTGGTTGCTGTCTACCAACCTACTACCTACCAATACTATCCACCAATACCATTCACCTTCACCGCCATCCACAACCACCACCATCCACCAATACCACCCACCACCACCCACCACCACCACCCACCACCACCACCCACCACCACCACCCACCACACCACCCACCACCACCACCCACCACCACCACCACCACCCACCACCACCCACCACCACCCACCACCACCACCACCACCACCCACCACCACCACCACCACCACCACCACCACCACCCACCACCACCACCACCACCACCACCACCACCACCACCCACCACCACCCACCACCACCACCCACCACCACCACCCACCACCACCACCCACCACCACCACCCACCACCACCACCACCCACCACCACCACCCACCACCACCACCACCCACCACACACCACCCACCACCACCACCCACCACCACCACCACCATCCATCACCATCCACCACCATCCATCACCACCACCATCCACCACACAGGTTAGTGTTCACTCAAGCATAAACAAAGCCAGACTGGCTCATGACTCCTGCCCGGGGATGTGTGGAGGCACGGTCAGGTGGACAGGTCTGGTATGCGGTTCGAAACATGGAGCAAGTTCGATGCTCGGGATAAAATTGGTTTGAAAAAAGCAGTCGAAACTCGAAGTGTTCGATAGTCCGATGCGTTAGAAACTCAGGGTTCCACTGTAGTTTGTCATTGATGTCAGCTAGGCCTGTATACCTTGTACATGTACTTGTAGAAATAAAGATATTATATTATTATTATATTATATTAATATTCAGCAGCAACACAAATAAGTCTACAGTGTGTTTTGAAGAAGAGGTTTCCTTGCAAACATTAATTGTTATTATTACTTTTTGCACACCGGCCATCTTCCGCTGAAGTTGGGTGACCCAAAAAAACCAGTATTCATTCAACAGTTGTCTTGGTAGAAGCATGCTAATGTTTGCACGTTTCTGGCAAGACAGCTGTGAATGAATGTTGGTGAACCTGCTTCCAGTTTTTTTTTAGGTCTCCATAACTTGGTGGGAGTTAGGTAGTATTAAAAAATGAAACAATACTTTGTATTAGTAATACAGTAGTGACAAAATGGCTGAAGAAGAAAGAAAAGTGAACCTAATTCATCATTATGTGGAGTGAGAATGGATCTTTAGAATTGTGGCTTCTCGGCTGTTGTTGCAACTAGAAGTATAATAGAAATTTTAAAATTTAGTTTTTCTTAGGACTCTGTAAGACCTAAGCTTTCAAAGTTTCTTCTCACTTTCAGCATTTCTAAACCAGTAAGTGTTTGAGTCATGCTGACACTTCTCAAAGTTTGCTCAATAGGTTATTGACAGCCCTGAATCATAATTTTCATATTAATGGCATGTCTGCACATGGATTATCATCTCATCCCTCCTAAGCCATAAAATGAAATTTCACAGCACACTTCATTATCTTCTGTAATATTTCTCTTCAGGTTCTTCTTCCTGCTGCCAATCTTCTTCAGCTGACAGATGTTCGAGATGCTTGCTGTGATTTCCTGCAGTCTCAGCTACATCCCACAAATTGTCTTGGTATCCGAGCCTTTGCAGATCTTCATGGGTGTCTCGAACTACTTTCCATTGCAGAAAGTTATGTCGAACAGCACTTCACGTGAGTGTCTAATAAAAGCATGCTTTATTTGCCACAGACTTCACTTTGTCAGTCATCACAGAAGTCATCTTTGTAAAGAAGTAAAAAGATACCTTTTTCACTTGCAGTTTTGTCAGCTTTTTTTGGTTGTGTACTAATGGCAGTGATATTACTTACAGTAAAGCCTCTCATTAATGGATTTCAGCAGTTTCAAGCCAAAAAATTGGCCAGGCAAATGTTGACAGTGTTGAACAGACTGGATAAAAGTCTGTAGTTATTGATTTTGTCAGTTAGCATATTTTTATTATCAGTGACTTATGAATAATTTTTATCATGGTTAATTTTTTACCAAATGCAGTCATACTTTGTGTATTACCTTGTATGCATGTATGAATAGCCTGCATTTATTATTTAAATTGTGTTAGTTGTGAGTGGTTGTCATGCAGGGGGGAGGGGAAACATTGTGGGGGTGGGGGGGGGTGGATGGATAGCCACTGGGCCAGTGAAGAAGACCTCAGCCCCAGCAGAGGGGAAAGAAAAGAAATGCCTCCACTCACTGATTCACTGCCTCGCCTCACTGATTCATTGCCTCTTCTCACTGATTCACTTCCTCTCCTCACCGATTTGCTGTCTCCTCTCACTGATTCACTGTCTCCCCTCACTAATTCACTGCCTCCCGCCCTGCATGAATAAGAGCTCATTTTTTTTTTGTAGAGGTTGTTGAGGATCTGTACTGTAGATTTATTAATTACATTGCATTTGTTGTTAGGTGGTGAGGTATTGTTGGTAAGGCATGCAGGAAGATGGGTTGGTGTGGGGCCTCAGGAGAGATGTTCTTGTTCACAACATGTTCATTCATCTGTCTCCACAATCTTCACACACTGTAGTATACTCAAACACACCCACCCTTCATATACCCTCTCACATACACCCACCTACCCCTCTCATATACCCTCTCACATACACCCACCTACCCCTCTCATATTCACCTACCCGCCCTTCTCGTATTCACCCACCTACCCCTCTCATATTCACCCACCTACCCACCCACCATTCTCATAATCACTCATGTACCCAGCCACCCTCTCACATTTGCCCATCCACCCACCTTCTCTCATACCCACTTATCATACCAACCCTCTTAAACCCATCCTCTCTCATACACCCATCTTTGCACCTCACGCCTATGCCCCACATAAAGCCAGTACAGCATTAAAATTATTGGGAATGCCTTAAAGTCTTAAATATGTACTTATTGGAGCAGAGGAGAGAGAGAGAGAGAGAGATATATAATAATATATATAGTGGAACCTTTGGTCACGAATGCTTCCGAACACAAACAGATCGGTTCACGACCAAAAAATTCAGTGCACCCTTATTGTGCAGTGGGCACAATAAGAGTGCACTGTTTCATCATCTGTGGCCCCAGAAAATATCAGAAACACTGCTGGAACAAGTGTAGAAGTCTTCAAGAGGAAACTGGACAGGTGCCAGATCAACCAGGCTGTGATGAATATGTTGCTACAGGCTACCAGTAGCAACAGCCTGGTTGACCAGGCTAGCACCAGACGAGCCTGGCCCATGGTCAGGCTCCAGGAGTAGAAAGACTCAAAGCTCATCAAGGGTAAAGGGTACACATACACCCCACATCCTCTCTCATACCCACCCCTCACACTCACTCTCTTACCCACCTACATTAGAAAGTATAGTGGGGTTATCAAGGTATAATGCTGAGGATAGGTTGTTAAAGTTGCTTGGTCATTTCAAAAGGATGATGAAAAGGGTGTTTGAATCTGGGATGGAAGGAAGAAGGGGTAGGCATCAATCAGGGATGGGTTGGAGGGAGGGAGTAAATTAGGTTTTGAGTGCTAGGGGTTTGAGCATCCAGCAGGCTTATGTGAGGAAGTTAAAGTGGCATGAATAGATATGAGTGCTGTTGAAGTGTGAGCAAGGCAACATTTATGAAGGATTTAGGGAAACTGGTTAGCTGGGTTTGAGCCCTGGAGGTGGGAAGTACAGTGCATGTACTCTGAAGAAAGGATTGGTATGGTGCAGTTTGGAGGGTCATTTGAATTGTGATGTCTTCACACATCTGGCAGGATGGCAGTGGAATGAGTGATGGTGAGTGCATTTTCTTTTTTGATCACCTTTCCTCAGTGGGAGATGGCCAGTGGGCAAAAAAAGAAAAAGCTGAAGCAGTTTAGATCAAGTCTTCAAATTGAAAATTGAAACTGCATTAATGTTTTTGCCAATCCTGAACCATTATGAGATTGCAAGTTAGTAGAATTTGAGAAGACCAGGTCAAGGTCAAGTCAGGTCATATAGGTTCTGAAAATTAGAACATTTATTATGAGTGTCAGTCTTTTTTTTCCTGTAGATGCTTTCTTTGTAAGTACGTTGTCAAATTTTCTGATCTTTAGAACACATGTGATTTGACTTTCCTGACCTTGGCTATTTTCTCACCTGCTGTCCTGATCTGACATTTGGTCTTTTTTCTTTTCCTTATTAAATTTCCTGACTAATCATTTCAATTTTGTAGCTTTTTATGCAAAACATAGTTTTTGTATATATCATAAATTTCTTTGCACTGTATGTCTGTGCTGGACAAAATTTTCCTTACCTATCTGGATGAATTATTTTGTTATTTAAGCAGACAATGTCAAAGATTGCAAACCTTAACATTCTTGTAATCCAACTTAATAATCATCTATTAGTTATAAGCTAATTTTAAGGCTACCCAGAATGCTTAGCATAACCAGAAACTTTCTAAACTGTATGCCAATAATGCCAACTATTCCTATATCAATTTTATATTGTACTCTGTACAAATAAAAATTATCATTATTATTATTTTTTTTAAATTAAGCCTTGAATAGAATTTTCAGGTGTACAGATGTGGTTTTTCTTAGTATGTATAACAATGTGATAAATTGCAGAGTTATTAATATATTTTCATGTACTGTAGTACTGTGTGAATCTGTGTAACTTTGAAATAAAACACAGTAAGGTTTCTTTTTTCAATAGTTAACTTTTTTTCTAAGATCTAGATTGATGAAATCCAAGATGGGCCTTTAACTTCAGGTTCCCAGCCCAACAAGCAAGTGTGCTGAAAAGTTAGTTTCAATCTGTTTGGGTAATGAAATATTGGAGAAATATAGGAAATTTAGATGTGTAGGACTGCAAGACATTGTAATCTTACCAATCTAAACCATTCAGTGTAAGAAATAGCACATTGAAAGAGGTAGAGAACTATATAAATTAGGCTGTTGAACTATTTAGGAATACACTTAGTGTTACTAAATAAGGAGGTTTAACCATACTTGTAAATATGTAGGTTAATACACATCAGTTCTTAAGGAAGATTGGGTGATACTAGAGAAAGTTGAAGATATGAAATGTAGAATCATATTTTGCTAAAGAAATATTCAACTATTCGGTGTATTGAATTTACATGTTGAGGGTATAGTGGGTGATACAGTTGCAAGAATATACAATTGAAATAAAGTTTCACTGGAAATTATGGAAGGCAACTAACGTTGTTGAAGGAAAAAGTAGAAGATCGCATATTTTTGGTGTTCCATGATGACATGAGGAAAACTTACCAGGTTAGGATGACTTGTTGAGATAAAATATTTTGGTAACCTGTGCTATCATGATCACCCACTCACAGTAACAGTGCCAAAGAAAAATGAGGTATCAGATGCTAATAGATAAAAGGCATTAGTGGAGCTACAATTATCCATGTCTGAATATTGGTACTGCATTATGTTTGTTAATTTATACGACATTTGGCAGTCGCCATTAAATAAAGTATTCGTATATTGAGTGCTTTTTCAGAGAGGTTGTCGAATGTGAAGAGTTCCTGTCCCTGACTTCACAACAAGTGACCAAACTCATATCAAGTGATAGACTCACCACCCCATCAGAAGAAAAGGTATGAGGTATTTATTTTTTTATGGGAGAATACAAGATTTGGTTTAAAACTTTTGGAATTATGCAGGCAAAGTTGAAAGTTGGGAACAGTTTTACAGAGGTGTAATTTTCCTCAATGTGAGGTCTGTTCCATTGGTCAGACTGACCCAATTTCTGGCTTTTTTGCTAATATGCCTTTCATTATATCAGTTGAGATCAAGAAACTGCCTATTCAACTATCAGAACTCCACTTTAAAGTGCCCAAGCAAAGATAATTTGAACAGTTTTTACAGAAAATTCATCAAATTACAATTTTGTGACAAGAGTACAAAATGAACACTGTAGACATTTTAGCCACTAAAGCAATCTTTCTCTATTCATTAATCACATCCCCAGGCCCCTCCTGTATAACACCTGCCCTGTATTTTAAGATCATGGCTTGGGCTTTCCAAATTATTGAAGCAGACCTCGTAAAAAAGTCATTAAACAAACTGGGGAGCATATAGGGGGCTCTTACCCTTTCTTAAGAAAATTGCCAAAAAATTTAATATTTTTACCACTTCCAGTCTAAAACTAACCAAAATCATCTCCATTTCACTAGAATATTGCTCAGTCACTATTTTAACCCTAATACAAGGTTAGATGTTAGTGATTACAATAATTCATTGTGTGGGGCAGGATATTTTTATACTTTGCATGCACACACTGCACCGATAGATCTTTCATGTTTAGACCAAAATTTACCACTGCAGCATATTTAAGAGCCTATAATTAAGACATATTTAAACATGTACATAAATGCTGCTGCCCTCAAAAGCATGTGTATATGTATGTGGGAGACAGTAGAAGGGTTAACTATTGTGACCCATCAAAATTAAGAATTCCATTAGAGTATCAATTAAACAAAAAGTTATCTTCTGAAATGGTAGAGTAATGGCACCAAAAATGCCAAAATTAGATATATAATTTGTGGAATTAACCAGGTGTGAAGTTGGAGGTCAGGTAGCATTTTGCAAATGTCGTTTTACCCACATTAAGGCATATTTTAAGCTTCAATCTGACTTGGTTCCTGGCTATTTTGCTTGTATGGCTTCCATACTGAAAGATGAGTGCAAGAACTACCCTACAGAGTTCCTAAAGTCAGTAATTTGACCAATTTTACATAAAATTCATCAAATTTCAGTTTAAAAATAGCTCCAAAATAAACACTGTAGGCACTCGCATCACTAAAGCAACCTTTCCTCTGTTCATTAATCATGTCCCCAGGCCTCTCCTATACAACACTTGCCCTCCATTTGAACCCATCACATAAAAGCTGAAGTGTTCACTATTTCTTGGCCATCTGAATAATTGAAGGAGATTTAGTTAAAAAAACCATAAAACGAACTGGTGGTAGGGTGTTGGGACCCCATCCCTTCCTCAGGAAAATTGCCAGAAGTTGAATATTTCTTCCACACTGAGACCATTTCTAGTCTGAAACTGACCAAAAACATCTTCATTTCAATAGTAGGCCTTCCTGTCCATCAACTGGTACCAAGAAATAGCCAAAAAAACTGCCTCACAGTTGCTATTTTAACCCACACACACACAAGGCCATTGGTTAGCTGTTACCATCATGCACTGTGTGGGGGCAGGACTTTTACTTTATTATAGAATATATCCAGGAGACAATGGAAAATAAGGCAGCCAGTCCCTCATTGGTAATTAATGGTGTTCACTTCCTTAACCCCTTCAGGGTCGAGACCCCTGATCTCAAACTTGTTCTCAGGGTCAAAAAATTAAAAAAAAAAAATTAACTTATAAAATGATAGAGAATCTTTTTCCGAAGGTTACATAAAATGATAGAGATCTTTTTCCGAAAGTAATGAAACCAAAAGTATAAAATTTGAAGGAAAACTTGCAGAATTACACTTGCAGAGTTAACGATCTTGGCGATATTTATGCATCAGCGATTTTGCCTAATTTACGCCCTATTTTTGGCCAATTCCATTGTTCCAGTCGACTAAACTCATAGCTATTTTGCTAGTATTTCTTCTATTCTATCGACTGAGTACAAGAAACCTCCCCTTTACCTATTTCAGCTACCCAATAAGGTGATCAGAAATCGGTAATTTGGCCAATTTTACACAAAATTCAACAATTGCCAATTTGAAAATAAGGTCCAGAATTAACAGTGTAGACATTCCTGGCACTAAATAAACATTTCCTGTGTTCCTTAGTGATATCTCCAGGCTCTTCTTATATTACATTTGCTCTCCATTTTGAATTTTTATTCCCAGCATACATAAGGAGGACTACCAACAGACCCCTGGCTGTCTTCAAGAGGGCACTGGACAGGCACCTAAAGTCAGTACCTGACCAGCAGGGCTGTGGTTTGTATGTCAGTTTATGTGTGGCCAGTAATAACAGCCTGGTTAGTCAGACCCTGATCCACCATGAGGCCTGGTCTCAGACCGGGCCGTGGGGGCGTTGACCCCCGAAACCCTTTCCAGGTATACTCCACGTATACATAAAATATAGAAGCTTTACTGTTATGCAGACTACTGCATTATTGTAATACAGTCTCTCCTCACTTAGTGATGTACTCGTTTAGCAACGCCTTGGACTTACGACAGGCACTCTGACCAGTATTCATAACTAAATAATGTATATTAGAGCTGATTTCCTCGATTCTATTTATTTCAGTATACAGTACACTACTGTATAAACATTTAAAAATATACCAGAAATGTTATAAATGGTGCAAAGGTGACATTAAAACAATATCAAAGATGGTTGACATACACTCGCTACCATTATAGTATGCTCCTCACTTAGCGACAAATTCGTTTACCGACGTCTTAGGAAGAGAACTCCATTGTTAAGTGAGGAGAGGCTGTACAGCCTCTCCTCACTTAGCAACGTACTCATTTACTGATGACTCGGACTTATGATGGGCTCTCTGACCAGTATGCATACCTGAATAATGTATATTAGAGCTGATTTCCTCTATTCTGTTTATTACAATATACAGTACACTACTGTATAAAAATTTAAGTGAGGAGAGGCTGTAATTGTATGAATAATGTCAGTTCTTTCCTAAATGCGTATCAGATGGGCACATTGGACAAGTGACGTCATTTGTGTACCCTGGAATATCGGAAAAATCAAACATTTCTACTAGTTTGAGCTCAATTTCAAGCTACTTTCAGTCCTGAAACTAAGCAAAATCATCTCTATTTCTGTAATATATCTTCCATTCTATCAAATGAGACCAAGAAACCAAGAATACAACCATAAAAACCATACCAAAATACACTGTAAAGTCGCCGTTTTAAACCAAAAATAGTCTCAGTTTTTTCTCATGCACTGCGTGCTGCAGGATTTTTCATATGGTGCACACTTTCTGCATAGACCCATCCCCTCATATCTAGGCCCAGATTCACTGCTCACAGCTTATCTTAGTGAGCTGAGCTCATGGCGTTGTGCTACGGGACTGACACTGGCTTCAAAGCCATGATATAGCGGGACCAACCCTGAAAGGGTTAACCTTGATCAGATCTATGGGGCTTAATACTATCTTTTAAGGCTGTTGTCTTCAGGATGTACTTTCTGTATTGAATTGTAAAAGTCATTGATTGGTAAAATGTCTTCATTGTAAAAATTACAAAGATGTTGCACATGTGTCTTATTCATCAGTTATCAACTATTTATACATATCTTTGAAAGTAAATCAAGATTTTGACAGTCAGTAACAATCTGTTACTGTAACCATTATTTACTAAGATTCTATGGAATTCATTGGGATTAGGTTAAAGATGAAATTTGAAAAAAGTCTCAAAATAATCATATTTCCTTTTTTAAATTAACATACTGGCTGTTTCCAACTACTGTTCCCCCCACATATTATATATATTTTTTTTTTCTTTCAACAAACCGGCTGTATCCCACCTAGGCGGAGTGGCCCAAAAGGAAAAACGAAAGTTTCTCCTTTGACATTTAGTAATATATACAGGAGAAGAGGTTACTAGCCCCTTGCTCCCGGCATTTTAGTCGCCTCTTACAACATGCATGGCTTACGGAGGAAGAATTCTGTTCCACTTCCCCATGGAGGTATGAGGAAATAAACAAGAACTAGAAAGAAAAAAAGAAAACCCAGATGGGTGTGTATATATATGTTTGTACATGTATGTGTAGTGTGACCTAAGTGTAAGTAGAAGTAGCAAGACGTACCTGAAATCTTGCATGTTTATGAGACAGAAAAAAGGACACCAGCAATCCTACCATCATGTAAAACAATTACAGGCTTCCATTTTACACTCACTTGGCAGGACGGTAGTACCTCTCTGGGCGGTTGCTGTCTACCAACCTACTACCTAGGTTATATATATATATATATATTTTTTTTTTTTTTTTTTTCAACAAGTCGGCCGTCTCCCACCGAGGCAGGGTGACCCAAAAAAGAAAGAAAATCCCCAAAAAGAAAATACTTTCATCATCATTCAACACTTTCACCACACTCGCACATTATCACTGTTTGTGCAGAGGTGCTCAGAATACAACATATATATATATATATATATATTTATATATATATATATATATATATATTAAATATAATATATATATATATATATATATATAATATATATATATATATTATATATATAATATATATATAATATATATATATATTATATATATATATATATATATATATATAATATATATATTAATATATAATATATATATATATATATATAAATATATATATATATAGTATATATATATATATATATATATATATATATGTATATATATATATATATATATATATATATATGTATATATATATATATATATATATATAATATATATATATATATATATATAATATATATATATATATATAATATATATATATATATATTATATTTATATATATATATATATATATATATATATATATATATATATATATATATATATATATATATATATATATATATATTATATATTTTTAACAAGTCGGCTGTCTCCCACCGAGGCAGAGTGACCCAAAAAGAAAATACACCTACCATCCGACTTACGACCTGCTCGACTTACGACCACTCGACTTACGACCGTGTTTTTTATGCCAAATTTTTGGGAAATAAACAACTATTTGTGTTGTACACAGTGTTTATCCTAAACCTTACAGTATAAAATACAGTACTAACAACATAAAAAGTAAAGTAAAACATGAAGTGCCAAATAAAACAATAAAATAAAGTCATTACAAAAATGTTTTGTTGATATTCAGTAGTAAAGTTCGACTTATGACCATTTCGACTTACGACCGGTTTCTCGGAACCGAACTCGTTCATAAGTCGGATGGTAGGTGTACTTTCATCATCATTAAACCCTTTCACCTCACTCGCACATAATCACTGTTTTTGCAGAGGTGCTCAGAACACGACAGTTTAGAAGCATATACGTATAAAGATACACAATATATCCCTCTAAACTGCCAATATCCCGAACCCCTCCTTTAGAGTGCAGGCATTGTACTTCCCATTTCCAGGACTCAAGTCCGGCTATATAAAAATAACCGGTTTCCCTGAATCCCTTCACTAAATATTACCCTGCTCACACTCCAACAGATCATCAGGTCCCAAATACCATTTGTCTCCATTCACTTAGCGAACACGCTCACGCACGCCTGCTGGAAGTCCAAGCCCCTTGCCCACAAAACCTCCCTTACCCCTTCCTTCCAACCTTTTTGAGGACGACCCCTAACCCGCCTTCCTTCCCCTACAGATTTAAATGCTCTCCATGTCATTCTACTTTGATTCATTCTCTCTAAATGACCAAACCACCTCAACAACCCCTCTTCAGCCCTCTGACTAATACTTTTATTAACTCCACACCTTCTCCTAATTTCCACACTCCAAATTTTCTGCATAATATTTGCACCACACATTGCCCTTAGACAGGACATCTCCACTGCCTCCAACCGCCTCCTCGCTGCAGCATTTACAACCCAAGCTTCACACCCATATAAGAGTGTTGGTACTACTATACTGTCATACATTCCCTTCTTTGCCTCCATAGATAAAATTTTTTTCCTCCACATATACCTCAATGCACCACTCACCTTTTTTCCTTCATCAATTCTATGATTAACCTCATCCTTCATAAATCCATCCGCTGACACGTCAACTCCCAAATATCTGAAAACATTCACTTCTTCCATACTCCTCCTCCCCAATTTGATATCCAATGTATATATGAAATTATAAAATATTGAGTGTATATATGCACTGTGGTACACTACCATCACAAAAAATTTATCGTACAGCTACTCTGCTCACAATAATGATATTAATTAGTCTGCTACTATACATTATGACTACCTATAGTATTGTCTTTGAAGTTACTAAATATTTAATTTATGATTTACATTTTTGTAAGGGTTACAACAATGCATCTTTATTGTCATGTGAGGCTTTGCTATACATGATACTTGGCATTTAAGTGCTGAAGGTTGGCATCTTTTGTTATTTTGTTACTTCATGTTTTAGGTATTTGAGTGTGTGATGAGCTGGGTGAGTGGTGATTTAACCAACCGAGAGCAGTACCTGGCAGAACTTATGGAATATGTGCGCCTGCCACTGCTCTCCCAAGACTACCTCATCCAGCGGGTGGAAGAAGAACCTCTCCTGAAACAAGACACTCAGTGTAAGTCATACCATGTGTGGCATGGATTTGCTGCATATCACTCTTGGGTATAATAAATTTCAACATAAAAGAGAGTAAAATATAAGTTTTTTTTGTATTTTCTCTTTGCTAATACATTAAACTCTTGTACAATAGTTGTGTTTGCTGTTTATTTTTTAAATTTGTTAATAAATTGAAGCCTTTCTATTTTATTGCAACATTTCTTGACAAAATGTGGTTGAGCCTGGGGTAAAATACAAGAAATTAAACTTGTGCATGTAACCCAAGTTCTTACTCACCCTGCCTGCTGTCACTCATGCCTCTCTCTTCTACGACGAGTCTTATTTTACTCACGACCTTGTGTTTACCATATTTTCCATACTTCATCCCTTACCCTCCCCTCCTCACAATTGCCCATTAACCAAAGCACCCAAAAACATCACTACTGATACAGAGAGCAAAAAGATAATTGAGAGTATTACAGTGCTCAAGAAATTGGTGATCATGGATGAGCTGATAGCATGCATGTGAATAGTAGATGGTACATGAATTATTTGACTGAATCCACAATTCTAAACAGTTATAATTACAGCTGACCAAAATCTAGTAACATGTTTTTGTGTAAACATGGTTACAAAATTACAGCATATGTTTTGGTGAACTCGCTGTATTAATCAGTTTATATGGTGGAGTAGATGTAGGAAAAAATGTGGCATGTTTCAGGTTCTTTTCCCCTCTATCTCACAGTGAGCGTCATGGTAAGTCTGTTGTCATATAGGGGGAGGTCAGTGTAGTGTATACAGGTGGGCCCTGCTTTAAAGCACTTCACTTTACAGCATTTTGCTAATACAGTGGACCCCCGGTTAACGATATTTTTTCACTCCAGAAGTATGTTCAGGTGCCAGTACTGACAGAATTTGTTCCCATAAGGAATATTGTGAAGTAGATTAGTCCATTTCAGACCCCCAAACATACACGTACAAACGCACTTACATAAATACACTTACATAATTGGTCGCATTTGGAGGTGATCGTTATGCGGGGGTCCACTGTACAGCAGTTTTCATATACAGTGGACCCTCGACTAACGCTATTAATCGTTCCTGAGAGCTCATCGTTAGTCAAAATAATCGTTAGTCAAGTTAATTTTCCCCATAAGAAATAATGGAAATCAAATTAATCCGTGCAAGACACCCAAAAGTATTGAAAAAAAAAAAAAAATTTAACACATGAAATATTAATTTTAATACACACAAACTGAAGAAGACATGCACAGTTACATGACACTTACCTTTATTGAAGATCTGGTGATGATTGATGGGATGCGAAGAGGGGAGTGTGTTGATGGTCTTAGTGTTTAGAAGGGGAATCCCCTTGCATTAGGACTTGAGGTGGCAAGTCCTTTTTCGGGGTTACTTCCCTTCTTCTTTTAATGCCACTAGACCACTTGAGAGTCACTGGACCTCTGTCGCACAACATATCTGCCCATAGAGGCCTGTACCTCCCGTTCCTTTATGACATTCCTAAAGTGTTTCACAATATTGTCAGTGTCACCATTAAACACTTGTTGAGGTTTCAGTCCTTCACTGTCTATGTACTCCTTGAATTCCTGCACATATTTTTCAGCTGCTTTTTGGTCCAAACTGCAGCCTCACCATGCCTTATCACACTATGTATGCCACTACGATTTTAAATCTCTAAACCAACTTTGCTGGCCTTAAATTCACTCACATCACCACTAGTTGCTGGCATTTTTCTAATTAAATCGTCATGCAACTTCCTAGCCTTTTCACATATGATCGCTTGAGAGACGCTATCTCCTGCTATCTGTTTTTCGTTTATCCATACCAATAACAGTCTCTCAACATCTTCTATCACTTGCGATCTCAGTTTCGAAAACATAGTTGCACCTTTGGCAAGAACAGCTTCCTTGATTGCCGTTTTCTTGGCCACAATAGTAGCGATGGTTGATTGGGGTTTTGTGTACAGCCTGGCCAGCTCGGAGACATGCACTCCACTTTCATACTTAGCAATGATCTCTTTCTTCATATCCATAGTAATTCTCACCCTTTTTGCTGTAGGGTTGGCACTAGAAGCTTTCTTGGGGCCCATGGTGACTTATTTTGCAGGTACAATCACTAAAAAGGCTGTGATAATCTGAAATGTTCCAATTGTATGCTTGGAAGCGACCGCGGTGGCTGGCTGGCTTGTAAACACTGGCCAGAAGTGGACGCGTCTCAGACGGAACGAATAGTGTTGGTAGAGTTTTTTAGCGCTAATCGAGGCAAAATTTTTGCGATAAAATGTATCGCTAGTCAGATTTATCGTTAATCGATGCCATCGCTGGTCGAGGGTCCACTGTATACTCATTCTTCATTTATTTAGACTCCCTGCAATAAATATATTCACCACTCACTATAAGCAAAGGACAAAAATATTTTAAGGTAAATAGTGTGTGAGCTGTATGTGCATTTTTAGGCCTAGCTGTATTGCCCACTTAATATATGATATTGTAAACATCCATTTGAAAGTGAAAAAAAGGCCATGATTCACTTTACAGCAGTAGCCCAGAACCTAACCTGTTGTATAGGTAATAATAATAATAATAATAATAAAAATAATAATAATCCTAGGTAGTAGGTTGGTAGACAGCAACCGCCCAGGGAGGTACTACCATCCTGCCAAGTGAGTGTAAAATGGAAGCCTGTAATTGTTTTACATGATGGTAGGATTGCTGGTGTCCTTTTTTCTGTCTCATAAAAATGCAAGATTTCAGGTACGTCTTGCTACTTCTACTTACTTAGGTCACACTACACATACATGTACAAGCATATATATACACACCCCTCTGGGTTTTCTGCTATTTTCTTTCTAGTTCTTGTTCTTGTTTATTTCCTCTTAACTCCATGGGGAAGTGGAACAGAATTCTTCCTCCGTAAGCCATGCATGTCGTAAGAGGCGATTGAAATGCCGGGAGCAACGGGCTAGTAACCCCTTCTCCTGTATATATTACTAAATTTGAAAGGAGAAACTTTGGTTTTTCCTTTTGGGCCACCCCACCTTGGTGGGATACAGCTGGTACGTTGAAAGAATAATAATAATACTGTAATAATAATAATAATAATAATATTTTATTTTGACATGATGCATATTTCTACAAAGAAATATATTAGTTGGGTGTACATACCAAAAGCCCCGTTATATGCAGAGCATTTCAGACAAACGTAAAATTGACTTATGATTTATAAGGCAGTAATAGTACATTTGGTCATTAGATGAGTTAAAATGAATAAAAGAGAATTGAGTATTCTATTGTGTCATGCTATATGGCTTTAATAAGTCTTGTAGAGAAGATGTACAGTCTTGATTATTAACCTTAGGCAGACACAATGGAGTGATTAATATTTGAGATGAACACATATATTGAGAGTAAGTATATGTTGATTATATTGATGAGAAAGTTTTACCTGTGTTCATGACAGTAGCCTCAAATTCCAGACACATATACAGCAAATTTCCAAGAAAATCTCTAACACAGTAGGCATGCTATCAAAGATACAGTACTATGTTCCACAATAAGCTCTCCTTGCACTGTATCATTCACTCATATACCCTTATCTCACATATGGAATTTGTTAAGGGGATCAACAGCATCAAATCACCTAAGGCCTCCAATAACCCAGCAGAAGGCTGCAATCAGAATGATAACAGATTCCCACTCGTGACAGCATACTCCACCTCTATTCAAAAGTCTAAATTTGCTCACCATAAAGAACATACACACTTATTCATGTGCCTACTACATACATAGAACAATACATGCAGATATAAACCCTCCACTCAACCTTCTCCTCACCAACCTTAACAGGACACATGACCATAAACAAGACACAGATCTCTTTTTGATGTACCCCATGTCCATATCACACTGTGTAAAAACTCTATGCACATAAAAGGCCCCAAATTCTGGAATTCATTACCAGAACATGCTAAAGTAACTAGGCCTGAAAATCAATTTAAGACTTCTGAAAAAACCACTTACTCGCCTAGGACTAAATATTCAACACTCAGTATTTAACACTACCAAAAATTCTCCCAGTTACTTAAATCTTAAAACTTCAGGACAACATACAGTAAATTGATTTTCTTGTTTGTTATATATTGTAATGCGACAAATTTGTACAACTATAATGATTCAATATTGAAATGTTCAAATTTCTTGTTTCAAATACTCAATTGTACTTCATATTGTAAATTGTTTACGGTAATTTTACCACTAAACCTTTCATTGCTTGCTAATTTTAAGTTAATTTTAAGCCTGCCCATAATGCTCTGCATACAAGGGGCTTTTGACATGTACACCCAACTACTATAATTCTTGTACAACTATTTATCATGCCCAAAAAAAAAAAAAAAAAAAAAAGTTTTTACATATGTATTCATGATGGGCCGGGATAGGTTAAGGAGCTAAGGTGTTTTTTAACTGTAGTTTTAAAAATGCTAGCTGAGCCAGTTGTTCTGGAGATTTCTGGTAGAGAATTCCAGATTTTGGGCCCTTTTATGTATTATGAGTTTATGAAAAGATTTAGCCTGACATGGGAATGTCATAGAGGTTTTTGTGTCTAGTGTTGTGTCTATGAGTCCTGTTGTAACTGTCAAGAAAGCATTTCAGGTTGAGATTTACAGGTACCATCCAACTTACTACCGAGCTTGATTCCGACCAACCGGTCATAAGTCAAAATGGACGTAAGTCGAACCTTACTAATGAATATCAACATCACATTTTTGTAATGATTTTATTTTATTGTTTTAATTTTGTATTTCATTTTTTACTTTTCTTTTTATGCTTTTAGTACTGTATTTTATACTGTAAGGTTAAGGATAAACACTGTGTACAACACAAACAGTTGTTTATTTCCCAGAAATTTGGCATACAAAACATTGTCGTAAGTCGAGTGGTCTTATGTCAAGCAGGTTGTAAGTCGGATGCTAGGTGTATATTAGAATTGATTGTTCTCTAA